GACGTCGCCGCGACCGCGCACGCTGCTCATGAGGAAGAACCCCTCTGTGGTTCGAAACTAGTAGAGCTTTTCTCAGTATATTCACGTGAGTAACCCGCGTTTTTACTTAACTTATTTTAAAAAAGTAATGTAGATTTTTAATTTAACATGCTCATAAAATTATTACGTTGTTTTATATATTTTTACGTTGCTTTCGCTGTATGTCCATATGTATGCTTAGATCTTTAAAACTACGCAACGGATTTTGATGCGGTTTTTTTTAATAGCTAGAGTGATTCTTAAGGAAGGTTTGTATGTATAATACATGCATATTGCACCCGTGTGAAGCCGAGGCGGGTCGCTAGTGGTATATAATTCCAATAGGAGTTTCAAGCCTCTATTTGCTATTATAACAATATTGTATGCTATAATTCTATTTACATTTCAAAGAAGTATTCAGTGTGGATATGAATGGGGCCGTCGTTAGAGGGCGCCCTAGACGGACATATAGTGCTCAGATTGGCGATATTTTAAAGAAGGGCCAAATTAAAAGTAACCTTAACCAACGAGCATGCATGAAAAGATTGATGACAGTTGATGAAGCGTAAGAGGTTTGCAGGAATCGTAGTAATTAGCGTTCAATAGTCTCTGCCTACTCCCATGGGAGACAGGCGTGAAGTTATGTATGTACCTAAGTATTTTTATATTTTCTTCAAATCTATAACGAGCTGGCAAACGTTACCTCTCTATTTTATAGAGCTGGCAATTTTGTTCTAGACTACTTTAGCTATTTGTTAACTAAAGTTATGTGATTACTTATAATATGGGGTGCTTAGTAGCTAAAATAAGAAAAGCTGACGTCATTTTCTTGTTGCATTTTACTGTTCTAAATAAAATGATATAGAAGAAATGTTTTGTGGTTGATTGTTGATAAGTTTAGTGTTTACATGACCTACAATTTTTTGTTAATATTTACTATTTATTTTTTTGTAGGCATTATGATTTAACGGCATCGTATCACCACCACAAATGGAAAATAATTTTTTGAAACAAAATAGAATAACAAGAAAAACAGATACACTTTAACAGAAAAAAAAAATATATTTTATTTCATTTCACTCAATTAAAACTAACAGCAAGTGTTATTAAATTTAAATTCTGTTAAATTTTATTCGTGCAATATAAAAAAATCAAATATTTTACAAACTTTTAAAAGCTTTCCAAATAAAAGTAATGAATGAAATGTAAAAACAAATAAAATTAAAGTACTGAATAAAATTTTAGAACAATGATACTCGATAATTCATATTAAAAAAAACGAAATGCACGCTTACTTCAAACACATGGAAATATTCACCTAAAATTCCCGTATTCATACAGTATCAATACATAGTATAAAACAAAGTCGCTTTCGCTGTATGTCCGTATGTATGCTTAGATCTTTAAAACTACGCAACGGATTTTGATGCGGTTTTTTTTAATAGATAGAGTGATTCTTAAGGAAGGTTTATATGTATAATACATGCATATTGCACCCGTGTGAAGCCGGGGCGGGTCGCTAGTTCTCTTATAAAATTTTTCAATAAAATATTTAATCTAAATTATCTAAATAAATCTTACATTGTTACATTGTACCTTGGCATTAGGTGTCGTAATGTGCACCTCTGCTTACCCCTTCGGGGAATCGGTGTCGCGGAGAAGCTAACAGGTTACCGGGGCTCCAGCTCGACGTGCAGGAGAAGGAACGGAGTGGTTTTTAGTCAGTAAGAATCTGACACTCCCTCCCGCCTCACCTAAGCAGTAAGCAGTAAATCGATGATTATCCCCCCTTAAAAAAACCCCTTCAGGGATAAAAGGCGTGATGATGTTAACCATAAATACAAACTTATATTATGATACACCACTTTGTATCTCCTTA